TGAAAAAACAATGGTTGCGAAAAAAGACTATAATTTAGAGTGCCATTTTTAATTAATAAACGAAGAAATATATGTAAAGCGAAAGAGTTCACGTATAATTACAATATTTTCCGATAAAAGCTCTTTGAAAATTTTTACGCAAAAATTTCTCGCAACGAGACAATAAACGAAACTAAATATAATAAAACAAACAACAGCAACAACACGGAACGATGACGGACGGAGAAGATTATAAATCAACGTAATTGAATCCCGACATAATTAATGTTCCGATTTCTATCATTCTTTTGCAACTGCAAGAAAGCGAATTAAAATCCATGAAATGATAAGAGGATTTTACAGTCAAGAAAGGATAAAAATATAAGAACATAATAAGATGTTATTCTCACAGACATGCATCGCGAATATAAGAGATCATCGAGATGATGTTCGTAAGTAGTAAATCGTAATGTCGTAAGTGGCATTGGTTGGACACGTACCGAAGCATCTCGAGGCGTGAGTACCAAGTGTTAACAAGTGTTTGGACAAATCTCAACACGTGCCCGGAGTGGTTCGCCAAGACACGTGCCGCTGTTTAGAAATATTATCCTGCACGCGCCTGGTTGGCACGTGTCGATCGTATCTTTCAATCCTCGAGACGTGTTCGAGGGTGCGCAGGTACGATCAGAAATTCCGGCAAACTATGAAATCGTTTGACACGAAGATCTGAAATTTAGTTTTGCTAAGCTCGTCCAATAATTATACGATTATCATTCAAAGCGTCTAGAGCGAAGAATTAAATGGCGTGAATTACACGACAGTCTCGTCGTTCTACATCTAGTCATACAATCTAGTCGTATTTTTGGTTAATTAGCGAGCGATCTTCAGATCCGATAAGGAATCACTAAATTAAGGAAAGTATATTATAATTAATATTCGCGAGACCCTTAATTATTAAATCTGAACGCATTATTGGCGAATTGGACATTGTCAACACCGTCGACATGTATTCGATGGACAATCTCGAACGAGATATGATGAACCGGCAGTACATGTATGAAGCGCACACCTTCCTGGGTAATCCAGCAATCCCGGCATTGCCGCCGCATTGCGGGGTACCTACCACGACGACGCTTCCGGCGGTCATCCCGTCGCAGATCCCGTCGTCCCATCATCCATCTGGTAGCACCGGTAGCACCAGCGGTAGCGAGCACTATCTCTATGACGAGAACAGCAGTGACAACGAGAGCGTCTACAGCAGCGATCAGGAGAATCACGCGAGAGAGTGAGTATTCCAAAAGTGCTTGCTTTCTTCTGATTTTCCCTTGTTTGATTTTCCGATTCAAATATATATAGAGTCCATAATGCAGACATGCAGACAATGTGCTTGCTTCACTTCAGGTACCCTCCATTTAGTGACACAAGTCGACAAAAGTATCGTTATGTTTTTGTTACTCATGCAAAGAAAGATAGAATGACATTTATGTCGACTTGTGTGATTAAATGGGAGGCACCCTTTGGATCGTCAGATTTCTTTTTCTTTCTCGATTTTATCAAAAATTTAGAGTTGTTCTTTCTTCTTTGAATCTTGAAATTGCTAAATCTTTAAAGGTACTAATTATACGGAAAATTGGGTTCTGGTAAAATAAGTTAGTTTTCACATGTAATGTGTATGTGTGTGTAGTTTATAACTAACTCATTTATATAGTAAACAAAAACTGTTATAGAACTAGGTTCAATAATTTTTTGAATTGTGGTATAAAATATGTATTCAGAATACTTTTGATACATTATAATTAAAAAAGTATTTATTATTAAGCCTTGTGTCTATGACATCTTTTGTTTATTGCATTACAAGCTAAATTATATGTGAAAATTAATTTACTAAGGCCTATTTTTTTATATAATTAGTGCGAGATCTTTTGACTTAAAATTCGATAAGATTTGCTATTAATTTTCTAAAAATAATGATTTCAAAATGTTCAAAGTTGATACTTCATAAATGAGTAATGTTAAAGTATTTTAATATCGAATTATGAATGAAATCAAAATGATTTTGATCGCTTTATAAATTCATTCAACAATCGGTTTGTCACTTTTACCCGTAGACGAAGTCGGAGTAACCGACGCGGCGGACCATCGGGAAAATGTCCGAGACAGGTCCAGGTTCAGCAACGGCAGGCGGCGAATATGAGGGAGCGAAGACGTATGCAGAACATAAACGATGCCTTCGAGGGTTTAAGGGCTCATATACCGACCTTGCCATACGAGAAGAGACTGTCAAAGGTCGACACGCTGAAACTGGCAATCGGTTACATAAACTTCCTCAACGAGCTCGTCAGGGCGGACAAGGGTAACGACCCCTTGACGGGCAATAGCGGTCTCTCGAGGTGTTCCAGTCGAGATGAATCCAAGAAGGTCATAGTCCGTGGTGAGGCTAATTTTAATTATATATCTACGGACAGTTCTCGATTAACGCAACGCGATAATTAATTTACTAATACTTTTACATATACATATATATTCGATGCTAAAAGGAAGAAAATTTTTATTCAACATTTATTTATGAAAAATTTCATTTATTAAATTATTAACCTTTAAGTGGATAAGCATGTATGGCCACAACATTCCACATAATAAGAAACATTTTATATTTGTGTTGGAAACGATCTTAGTCTTTATTAAAATTTTGTGTTAAATTTTTAACATATTCGAGTGTTAATTTAACATAATATGATTATGTTATTTAAATATTTCTTGTTAATTGATCTTGTTCAATATTTCTTAGTGTGAGAATAATACAACCTACGAGTAATTAAGCAGATAACAAAAATAATGCACTTTAAAATATAAATTCTAATATAAATAAATAAATTATATTAATTTAATATATTTATAATTGTTTAAATTGTATTGAAAAAATATGCTTCTACAGTTTGCTTACAAATTGTGCTAATGTTACATTTTTTTGTGTGTTAATTTTTATACATAATATCTGTTTATTTTCTGATACATCTATCTTATATTAAATTAACACAAAAATTTATTTGGACTATTTAGGACATGTAAAATGTGCTAAAATTAACATAAATTTTTCAAATTTATCTAGAAATGGAAAATATAAAATATTGCCCAAATATCTTAAAGTTCATTACTTCTATATTCCTTTATTAAATAGAGTCTATTTCACACATAAGAGTGTATAATTAATATAAATTTAACTATACATAATATACTAAAAGACATAATTATGAAATTAATAACTTTTTTATTATATTATGGGTATTCTACTTATCAACTTGTGTATCTTTAAGCTACTTATCAACTTAGAAGTTAATGAAAAGATTAATGAGATTGGGCTTTTCATAAAAAATTTGGTAAATTCATTTTTTTTATATTTCTTAATTTTTAGCATTAAACATACGTTAACAGATCAGAATTAAACAAAATTAAAATGTTGTAATTATACAAAATTAAAATGTTGTAAATTAAAGTTGAAACTTTGTTAGCTTTTCTGAAATATATTTCCAACGAGTTGGTAAAAGAAAAATCGAGTTGTAAATTAATTGAAATAAAATTCCCACGTCAAAAACTGCTAGCATTTTACATGGATGCATGTTATATTTAAAGTTCACAATAGCGTTACATTAATACAGTTTCAACGTGAAGAGTGATACGTTTACATTTAATTTACAACCTTCGGACCTTGCTAAAATTTCGCTGAATTCATGATTCGATTTTCATTATACTGCCGCGAGATTCGGTTTTGATAATACAGAATTGCACTGTTGTACTCCACGTTATTTCGATATTATGTGCACAACGTATTAATGTCGGACCAACCTGTTTTCACCCCGCGCGAAATCATAGAACGATTTATCATAATTATCCATCTACCCTTTATTCCAGGACAGGTGTCCGTCAGATATATGATGTTTCGAGGTGAATTTACTGTCCGGAGATAATTGAGAGATTATCAAAAGTTTTGGGAATCGCGCGTAATCGTTCTGTTTATTTACACGCTTCGCTTTCGCGCAAGCTATTTAATTTTCGAATTACAAAAACAATTGTGAGACGTTTATTACACAGTGTAAAATTTGTATTAAATTTTACATGTTTTATGTATTCTAAATGATCCACTTAAATTTTTGCATTAATTTGATATAAGATGAATTTATTAGAAAACAACAAATAACAAAAAAAATTATGTAAGAAAATTAACACAAAAAATGTAACACTAATACAATTTATACACAATCTGTGGTAACAAATTTTTTGATGAAATTAACATTTATAATATATTAAATTAACACGTGTTTTATTCATTTATCTTAAAATTTATATTTCAAAATATATTATTTTTATGATATTTGCAATTCTTTTATCAATTTAGTTATTTTGACACTAAGAAATATCAAATATCAATTTAATACAAAATATTCAAATAACATATTCATATTATGTTAAATTAACATTCGAATATGTCAAACATTTGACATAATATTTTATAAGGACTTGAATAGCAATTATTTTTTACTCTAAAATTTTTAAAGTAAATCTTACTCTGCAGAGTGAAATTTTACTCTTAAATTTCCATTTTCATAATATATGGTTACCTAAGGATTAAAGATTATTAAAAGATTTTTTAATGAAGTTTATTCATAAATTTCTTGGTAACCTTTAGGCCGGTATTCATAGTCTTATGTTCAAGATTCATTAGTTCTTATATTCAAGATTTAAGTTCAATCTTGAAATGTTATGAACCAATCAGAGCGCCGCATTATCGTCTTAAGACATTACTTAAGACGATCTTAAAATAAAAACCGACTGAATATTGTCTTAATCTTTAAGCTTAACCACATATTGCGACAATGGGACTTAAAGATTGAAATTTGAGCTACTCTTTTCCAAGACTAGCTCAATTTTCACTTTTTAGAGTAAGACTTCACTTCACAAAATTTAGAGAGTATGTATGAAGACTGTAATTTAACATAATATTATATTTCTACGAATAATTAAGATAAAAATCCCTATGTCGATCTTAGTTTCCCGCGATTTCGCGTTCTCCAAATTTTGGTCAATTTTCATCGAATTACAACTTTCAGGTAGCGGTGGGAATCCATTCATCTCGCACTCGCTCTCGTGGTCGAGAAAATCGGATATCTCACCGAATGGCACGATGTACGCGAAGGTCTGGACGCCAGAAGATCCGCGAACATCGAAAAATGGGACGACGTTCGAGTAGATGGCGAATTTGATTTCGTTTTACGAGTATAAGCGGAGGATCGGACACATCGCACGGTTGCGAGAACATTTCTCATCTAGAGTGTTATTTAGTGTCTAAGGGAAATGTTTCTAGTCACTGGTCCTCGTTGTTTGTACCTTATGATCATCGAAAGTCTCCGATTTTTTGGACGACGAAAATGATCGCCAGTTTATACATCTCTCGCGATTTCATCAAAAAGGTACGGTAAATCGAATTAACCATTGCAAAATATGTACATGCGTTTGAGTTACAGAAATTTTTTATTTAGAAAATGGAAACAATTATAAATGAAAATTAGTTGAATAATAATAAATCAAGCAGAAAGAACAAGAATCTTATTTAATTAAAATCTAAGAATTCTATTTTGAAAAATACATTCTTTAGTTCTATAAATTATGCGAAAAATGTATTTGCAAAATTATGTAGTATATAAATATTATTGAATACCAAGACTCGCTTCAATTAAAAATCTCTCTTTTATTTAAAAGTAGAATCGTGATTCTTTTATTACTTTCCTTAATTTTGTTAATACCTTATTTTCTAAATAATATTACAGTATAAATAGAATTCAATAGAATTTTAAAAGATGACCATGAAATATCTGATTGAAAGAAAATAATTTGTTTCTGAGAAGATTGGATTGACGTTTATTTTGTAATGGTCGATTCAGTTTTTGCCGTTTTGTACAATATAATACAAATCGGTGTACGCGACATTTTTACAAACGTTTTTTGCGAAACGTGCTTTGTAAATAGAAATTATTGAAATAGAATTATAATAGGATAAGCACCGTTTATACATAATTAACGCGACGTAATGGTGGTGCATATCGAGCATCATTATTGCCACTGTGAATAACAAAGCCAAATAAACGTAGTTCCGAGAACTTTATTGCGTTTATCATTCAGGCCTCCAAAAATGATTAAACTCATCTTCCCCTTTCTTTGAAGACTGCACAAAAACGACGGTTTTATTGAAGTAAATTTCAAGCGAAATATAAATCTAAAAATAATTTTGTTGGATCAAAATAATTATGTAGAACGCCTAAGTATTGATAACAATACTGCAAAAAGTTTTAACATTCTTGAAATCTAAATAATTATTTTGATAGTTCAATAAAATTATATTCAGATTATCTGGTTAAATTTTTAAATGCTCCAGTAAACCATTCTTTGCATGTATTTCATCTACAAATGTTACATAATTAGTGAATTGCATCGAAATCATGATAAACATAATCTTCAAAAAATCATTTGATTAAATCGAGACAAAAGTCCAAATAGAACAATAAGTTATCATGACACCAAATATCTTCAAAAAAAAAAAAAAAATGATTATTAAAAGTTTCAATCATTTACTTTCCCTTTTCACTTTTTAATCATTTACAATTCATTTTAACGCCATTTCGACGTGACTTATTATTCTCCTAAGAGGATAAAGTTTTATTGCATCTTTTTTCACAATATTGAGAAACTTATTCAAACTATACCGTCTTTTGTGACGAATTAGCGTGGAACTTTTAAGCCATCAAATCTCGTCCGGGTCTCTGTAATCCGTGATTCGAAGATACTTTTGATAACATTATGTTGAAACAGAGTATCAGCAAGATGGCCGAAATCGTCGAAGGGTTTATAGCGCCCTAAAACGTGCTTCTTGCATTTTAGTAAGGGTAAATTCGAGTGAGAAGAGAGAGAGAGAGAGAGAGAGAGAGAGACATGGCAATGAGAGAAGAAGAGCACAGGAGACGCGGGGGAGACGCGGTGGGCGGTACGTCGATATTGCGGCGTCGCGGCGCCCTACGACTCGACGGGGATAATGGCGTCGACGGCTGCAAGTCTTCTCACGATCCTTCGGTTCTTCCTTCTCATTCGCGACGCTGCGGCGAGTTCCCATTTCCCGCTTTATCTCCCTCTCTTATTTCCCTTCGGTTGTAGAGGCAGACATTATCACACATCATTATTGTCATTAGCAACTTCGCGAAGCTTCTAGCAACACGGAAGATAAGGAACTTCAATCCTGCATTGCATTATTATACGTTCGCTTGGGGTGAAACACTATTCAAGCTGCTACGATCGCGATGGTTTCCCTTGATCGATTGAATAACAGAGTTTATTATCGCCGTAACTTTTATTATGCGTGACTCCGTAATTCTTCCGTGATTCCTCTGACTCTGGAAGAATGACGGTGACTTTGAAAACTTTGAGGCTCTGCTTAGCAAAATTTTATATGCATTGTTCTCTCACGTCCCTCTCGAAGTCCACGTGCGCATAGAAAAATATCATTCTGTTGCTAAAAAAGGGATTACTCGAACAAATTTATTTTCTTTCCTTTAAATGCGATTATTTTTATTTAACAAAGAATTTTTTTAATAATAATCTTAATAATAATTTTAATAATTTATAATTTATAAATAATAATTTATAATAATCTTAATGTATATTTATTACAAATCTTAGAGAAACTCGTTAATATGTACTCAAAACAAGGATTTATTTTCTTTTTAAGCTTATTATAAAATTGATCGAAGAAGCGACTTTAATAATAAGTAAAGCGATTTTATTTTAATTTAATAATCTTGAATGAAATATTAAATTTAGTAGAATTCAATAATATATTTTGAATAAATTTGATGTTGCAATAATGTATGATAGATTTGCGGCTACATGAACTTTTGAGGCACTTGAAACAAGTTATTATTTACGTATAGTGTGTGTATTTTTTTGCGCCGTGGATGTATCTACGATTTTGAGAGAAGAAGGTAAAAATTGATCTTTACACAAAATTTATTAAAATGCTTATATCATTAACAATAGTATACTGCATCCTGTGCATTTCTTTTCTTTGAAATAGGAGCAATTTAATTAAATATAATGGTCTCTTTATCCTTTTCTTCTTTTTAAATACACAAATTTACAAATATTTTCCAAAGATGTTAAAATATATGTAAGAATTATTTATAATAATTTTTGCATACTTATAAAAATGATGAAAATTAACCCAGCCACGAATAATTCAACGTGTATAATAAAGGATAATCATCATGTATATTTAAAGCTAGTCTTTGAAAGCTGTTCTTTAATGAATTTTCATATAAATATAAAAGTATTCGTCAATAAGCGTTTAACTTTTCATCGTAAAAATGATTTTTATAATTCGTTCTCTTTGATAAAATTTATGAGAAGGAGGGGAGCAAGCATCACTTCCTGCCTCCTCTTTTATTATATATTCGCCTATGTTACACTTTAATTATTTTAAAAGATTGATTGAAAAATGGATTACTCTTTACATTTACATATCTGTTGCATAAATATCTTTTAAAAGTTACGTATACATATTATATATAATTTTCTTTGTTCTGTATTTTAAATATCGAGGGAATAACGCAAGATTTTCTTGAGGTTTCCATGTTGCGCGAGAAAGTAACGCGTAAATTTTTGTTCAAACAAAATAAAGTGATAACTACTAATTCGAAAGAACACACTGCTATAATATATATAGATATCCTTAAATTTTTATATTAAAAACGAGCGAATTTTCTAAGACATTTTTATAATTATTGATCGATTAAATCTCGATAGGAAATTTTAACTTCGCAATGATAACTATAATTAATTTGAAAGACCTGCTGCGGTAAAAATATTCGAAAGCAAAAGGAAAGTTAAAGCTTTTCCTGAAATTTGGAATTGCCAGCCAGGCAGATCTAACAATAAATGAGCAGCAGACTTTTAAAATGCATTTTGTCTAAAATTTC